TATATATATATATATATATATATATATATATATATATATATATATATTCTGTATACATATATAATTCTCACCCTTTCCCTCCAGTATATTGTATACCAATACTGTACATGAATTTTTCTTGACAGTGACTTAAAACGACTGATAACACGATGTTTAACTGTATGTTGTAATTTAAACTTTATGAGTATGCAGTATTACCTTGTGTATGATTTTCTTTTAGGTCCAGTGATCAGACTGATCTTGCTCCTGTGAAAGTTAAAAGTAAAGTCATAGTTGAATTACCTTTGTCAATAAGTGGGTAAGTATGACGCTGAAGATTCCTGGCTTTACATAAACCTCTCATATACTGTAGCTGCAAATACGTTTTTTTTTTTGTTGTTTTGTTCCATCAGTGAAGCCAAACCCAGTCAGGTTTCCTTCGGAGGTGTTGTGAAAGGAGAAAGTGCGATGAAAAGAGAAGACGACATCGGAAGTCTGATCAACTTTTCTTTCACGGTGAGTTTAGTCCCACAGCTTAAACTTTTTGTGAATACCGACATCTTCTTGTCATTGAATTGTACACGAAGATGTGAATTTCTCCTTCAGATCAACAACTTGTGGAAGTCTTTGGAGCCTTCCATTAAAGCCTCTCTTTACATCCACTGGCCCAAGTCAAGCAAAGATGGGAAGTGGCTTCTGTACCTGGTGAAGATCATGTCTCGTGGACCAGGGGATGTCGCCTGCTCCCCAGAATCTGAGATCAACTTTCTTAAACTGGCTCAGGTTGGGGATTCTTAACAAGTAGTGTCACATAAACTAACCCCAACAGACTTCTCCTGCTTTTGTTCTGTTAAATGAATGAAATGTGTTTTCAGGACTCCTCAGTGACCCGAACAAAAAGAGAAATTGCTGCAAAAGAAAGAAACTCTGGTTCCAAAATGTTTTTTCTTGCAGGAAAGAATAATGCATTGGTACGTATTAGAGTTTATCTATTTATTTTTGCTATAAATATGCAGATGTGAAGTATAATAATAATAATTAATTTACTTCCGGTTATAGTCCTGTGAGGAAGAAAACAGATGCGTGGTGCTAAAGTGCCCCCTGCAGGGCTTTGATGGTACAGCAGTTGAGCTGAGATCTCGTCTGTGGAACTCCACCTTCATTGAGGTAATGAAAAACTGTACCTTTATTGTCTCTGCATGTCTTCTTTGTTGAATTATGAGGCTGAAGTTCTTGATTAACTTCCTTAATACCTTTTTTTTTGTTTGTTTTCCACAGGATTTTGCTTCGTTTCCAACCGTGCTTTTAACAGTGAAGGCTTCTCTGGTGCTGCACACTCAGGCTCAGAACTTGATCCTGACAACTCCTGACGCCATCGTACGCAGTTCATCATCAGAACCAACGTAATACTCTTTAACGAACCCGACGTCACGTTGTCTTCTGCTTTTCCTGTTTTGATGTTGTGCTGCAGGTGAAGGTGACGGTGTCCCCTGACAGCTCCGTGGCTCAGTACGGAGGAGTTCCCTGGTGGATCATACTGCTGGCCGTCCTCGCAGGAGTCTCCATTTTGGCTTTGATGGTGTTTTTACTGTCAAAGGTAGGAGAAGAATAAATACAGTAACTCTAAATGACCTGTTTGGTGAAAAGCATGAACACCTGCGAACCCATGATGGAAATAAGTTCAGAAGTTTTAACTAAAAAAAACACAAAATTAACATTTTTCATAGCCCTGAAGCTTCTGGTTTTTAGTAAAAGTTTGATGTGCAGTTTTGGGGCTGTTAAAAAGGCACCCAGAAAAACTGAGAACAATATTAATAAAAATAAATAAATAAGTAAATAATAGAAAAAAATATTTGTCAAGTAATTTATTTTAGGAAGTCATTCAAATACTAATTGAGGTTTTGTTGAAAGGTTATGAACAAATACTATCTTACCTGTTGCAGATAGCTCACTGAACGACTTCAGTTTGGAGAAATAAATTTTAGTTTTGAACCAACTGAAGTGGATCGCTGCCATCTGGAAAAAGCACCGATCACAAAAATACACAACTGCTTATGCAAATTCTGTTTCATCAATCTTCACATTGAAATCAGTTTTGCATTAGGGTCATTCAGGTGCCCAAAGCTGCACAGGAAGGGCTACAGCTAGCTGCTGCTTATTTGCACTTGTAATTAACCGCAGAATTCCATGTAAATACCCATTCACTCGGGCTAGCTGTTAGCTGGTCAGTTGTGTCCGAATAAATCTTTGATTCTCCAAAGTGTGGTTGTTAAAAGAGCTATCTGCAACAGGTAAGATAATAAGCGTTCAGAAGCTATCCACTTGACCCCACTTTAAAAGATCTGGATTATCATTTAAATGCATTTATTTAGTTTTTAAGCACTAGAACCAAAGCTAACAAACAAAACAAGAATTTATAAGCTGCATGAAAACTGGTCAAACAGTAAGGCACTAATAAATTACTCACCTGTATATTTAAATCTCATTACATTTTAACTTGTGTTGTAGATGCACAGAAGCCAAAGAGTAAAAATAAGTTATTTAATCATTATTTGTCACAAAACCGATGTATAAGAGACCAAAACAATCAGTGAAACATAGTTTGGGTATGAAATAAAATGGTCGCAGGTTTGATTTCAGGACTGGAGATAAAATATTCCTCTGCTCTTCTTCAGTGTGGTTTCTTCAAGAGAGCAGCTAAAGACCAATACAATGCTGCATATCACAAGGCCGAGGTCCACGTTCAGCCCTCTGACGAACGCTCCGATGAGGCCTGATTTATTCTCTCTGATTGGGGTAAAGTTGGCATGAAGTGCGATTATTACTGCAGCTGCTAATGAGCTCACGTTTCCAACAAACCTGCTGACTGAACGCAGAAAAAAATCCAATCAGACGCATATTGTACGGAGCTGACACAAGTCGTTTAGAGTTTTAATTTGGGAGAACATTTCACATAAAGTCAGCATAAAACATATATTTTACCAACTGGTAAAAAAAAAAAGTTAGAACTTGTGCTCGTTACTGAGGTTTTTGTGCAATATGTGTCTGAGTTTTTCCAGGAAATTGATGCGTTTTCATGCAAAGTTTTCGGTTTTGACACCACTGTTCTCTGCAGCTGCTTCTCCTGTCGTCTGCTTGGCTGTTTGAGAAATCAAAAACCTGCAAAGCATGCTGACCCTTTCCTATGCATCGCCCTTTGGTTGTTTAGAGTTCACAAACGCTCCTCGTTTGAAACTGATTGTTTTAATGTCTTCCCTGATCCAGTGCGGATTCTTCAAACGCTCCCGACAGGATGACAGCGTCCCCCGTTACCACGCCGTGAGAATAAAAAAGGAAACTCCTCTGTGTCGCGATGGAAAAGTCATCCTTGATGCTTTTGAAAAGAAGCAGTGGATGACGACATGGATGGACAATGAAAGTTACTCGTGAATGTTCAAACCTGCTTAACTTGTGCCAAAAATGCACTGACCTTAGTCTTTTTTACTTTTGTGAAAATAAGTGTCATTGAAAATGTAAATAATTCTTTTTGGGAGTTAGTTGTGTTTAAGATCTCGAGTTTATACACCGGTTGTGTCCTAATTCAGAGGCTGCATGCATTAAAGGTCATATTTTAAAGCCAGATGTGTCACAGCTGGCTTTGCTCAGCCACGTGCGGCGATCAACAGCAGTGAAATCAATACCGAATCAACTCGGATTTCATTTTAAAAGTGAGTATTAGGTTTAAATTTCCTTGTATTTATATTATTAATATAAAGACATTTATTTTGATGTGTGATTTCTATTAAAGAAAAATCCTCAAAGTGAAATTCGAAACTTGATTTTAATGGCTATTATCATTTTTTATTTGCATATTAACGTTGCTGTTTAATACCGTTACCAGCATTTTTTTTGTTTGTTTGTTTAAGAAATAATTGTTTACTTTATTAATAGAAAACAGTTTAACAAAATTTTTTTTGTATGCTATTTAACACTGATGTTGCTGCTTTTCTAGAAAGATTGCTCTAATATTTTCTTTTGTTTACTATTTTGTGCAACATGTCCATTTGTTTTAAGGAGTAAAAAGGCTTAATTTATAAAACTAAGGCAAGAAATTAATCACCTGTTCACTGGAGCCCAACGTTTAGCTGACTGGGCGTGGAGGTATTTGTTACTGGTGATACCTTTTTATACAAATTGCATACATTTTCATTAACAAATTGATAAGTTGTTTGTTTCTTTATACTTTTGTCGTCAAAAAAGGACAATCATGGAGAAAATTGGGCTGCAAGGCCAATAAAAAAGAGAAAATACAAAGTAAGCATTATTTTTGAAGTTTTAGTTACTTTAAGATGCTTTAGCTATAAACTGAGTAGACATTTTTAACAGACACTGTTTTTCCTGCCCAGGAATGCAAATGTCTACCAAGTGGCCAAGGCGTGGACGCAAGGCCCTACGGCAGCAACAGGAATGTCCTCATGGATGAGCTCCTCTGAGAGAAAGACACTACGGTGTCTTCTGTCCAGACTGCCTCCATCCATGAGGACACTTCCAGCCGAAGTTCAGCTGTGGGTTAATGTCAGGAGGACAAGAGAAGGAGGAGACATCAGCTATGAATGTGAACAGAGGAGGAGAAAGTGGGATTATGATGATATTGATGATGATGAGAAGATGAATTATTAAAGGAGAGTTTGATATTTTAGAAGAAGGCAGAAGAAGGAGCTGAATGACAGATTAGACAGTTGCTGTTTGAAAAGATGGTTATTAAATAAGGAAAGAGGAAAGAAGAGGAGTTAGACAGGAATCAATTTCTGACGTTAGATTTTTTTTTATGCAACTTTCAAAAAAGCTGTTTACAAAATGTAATTAAAAATGATTACAAAGAAGAGCCCTATTTTTGTCTTTGTGTAAAACAAAACAATAAAACACATTCAATTTATGTAAAATAATTAAACGATATAGACATTTTCTAGAAAATTCTGTTTTTAACAAACAAAATTTATTCATTCTCTATATTTCTCTCAGCCAAACAAACATGACAGCGAAGTCTAAACTTACTCAGTAATCATAAGTATTTAATGGATGCAGTTTTTCAGGTTTCAGTGGTATTTCCATTGTGTATAGCTCGGTAACATATTCTGGACGTCTGCTGGGTCAGCTTTTGTGGCCTTTGGAGGACCCGGCCTTCGTAGTTCTCCAGGGTGGGCCCTCTGAAGCATGCAACCTCTGAACTGGGACACAGCCACTGTACAGATACTGAAATATTTTTGTAAATGTTGTAAATACCTGTGCACATTTTGTATATGTGTTTTTATACTGAAAAATCATGCAATCAGAGGTTTAATAATTATTTTACTGCTGTTTCAGAAGCTGTCGGTTTTTTTTTTTTAATTATAAAATTAAGGTACAAATTGTTGACTATTATATGTATTTAAAACAATACAGGATTTTTTTAACAAGTCTTTATTTAGTACTTTTCATAAATAAAACGATTTTTGTTCTTTTTGACCTTCTAGTGTACATGTCTGTACAAAATCAGGTTGAAATATTAGTAATAAATGCAGTCAGTCCCCTCATCTTGTTGAGGTGTTCGAGTAGCATCCACTGGACTGTAGATCATCACTGAGGAACTTTTTATTCCACAGGAGGAAACCAAAGAGAGCATTGTGCAAAACAACCGAATGTGTGTTTTACAGATGTAATTGTTTTTGTCACGTTGCATAGAAATAAATAAAAAAACCTTAATTAAACCTGAATTGTTTCAGTGTGGACAAATGTGATGCTTGAAATTATTTTAAACACATTTAATTACGTTATCCACAAAAGAAGTGGCAGATTCCTGCTAATATTTTCAACAAAAATGATCCACGTCTATAATGTAAATAAGGTGCAGTTTCCTCGTAGGACCACTAGATGTCAGTATTGTGCGCTTTTCGGTTCATGAATGTGATGTTTTGGTCTCTTCTGTGTTTATGAGCAAAACATCTCCTGAACAACTGGACAAATATTAAACTCATAAATTAATCATTGAACTGACATCTAAACATAAAAATGCCATTGTGTGTGATGTCATTTTTATTATTTGACCAAAACCACCAAAAATCCATCATTTTTGAAGATGAGATGATCTTAGTTTAAAACTCTTTTCCAAGTTGTCCATGTTTAAACGGTTAAGACGGAGCTTCTGAAGGCTACTCATTAAATAAGAGAACAAGATTCGATTGCAGTGAGATGCTGCTGAAAACAATCTGGACCATGCTTCTGATTTTAAAACATGTTAATATTAAAGCTTGTCTGCAAGTTTGTTGCAGATACAGTTGACTCGGCACACTAAAGAAAAATTAGATTTGCTGAAAACTCACACACCAAGTGAGCGATGAGTCCTATTTATCGACAGTAAAAGATACAAGTGAATTTAAATTATACTATCCTAAAAAGGGTTTGATTCTGATCATTAGAACCTGTCTCACCACTATCCTCATGGTTTCTAAACCTTTCAAGGTCTGACCCAGAAAATAAGATACTGCAGAGGCGTGTGACCCCGAATATTACCGGTTACGGGTTACAAAACGTTCTAGTAACACTTTAAAATGAGAGAATAATGACAATACAGTCCATTCCTTTTTAATTTATACTCTTTGTATTTGTTTTAATTATCCCAGCTGTGATCAGGAGGTCGCCGGTTCGGAAAAGTAAAGCACCCACACCTGTCTCCACCCTCATTTGCCCTTGAGCAAGGCCCTTAACCCCCACCTGCTCCCCCAGTGCGCCCTGGCAGCTCTCTGCTCCACACAGAGGGTTGTGGTCGCTCGGTGGTCTGTGGTTGCGACAGGAAGGGCATCCGGCGTAAAAATAATTCTCAAGTCTTCATGCAACTTAGTTCGCTGCAGCAACCCCTGAAGAAGGGAGCAGACAGATTAATTCATTTGTAATAATTCTGGTGGAAACTTTTCACCTGCAGTTTTTTTTTTTTTTTTTTTTTATCTGGGGATCCTAACTCTAATTACTGGGAATACATCTACAACTGATTAAATTTAGGAGTCAACACAATTCAAGATGGCTGCCACAGCTAACTGACCTCACAGGACGCAAAACGCCACAATTCAGTCAGTTTTGCACATAATGAGCTCAAATTTGGTGTGGTGGTAGCTGAGAGTTATGCCTAATGCATGCTCCAAGTGTGACACATCGTGCAACTTTGACATTAACTGTTCAAGCTACCATTGTCTGTTAGCAAAATATCTCTCGAACCATTGGAGGGATTTTAGTGCAACTCTCAAAGCGTAATGGTTTCCTGCACATCTACAGCTCATCGTTAGTTTTATTATCATCTCCAATTGTCACAAAGGGTGAGTTTGAATGACGGAGATAGTATTTTATGATTATGATTTTGAGAATTGGCTTCTTTTTTTTGTAAGTGGCAGAAATGGACTTCCATATCCAGCAGATTTGGAAAAAGCTGTGTGCAGCACATTACTCAGCGCTGCTCTCTGCATGCTTTCATGAATACTGTGAATATACAATCTGATCTATAAGAAACAAAATGCTTTGAGATAAACGTTTGTCACTGGACAGCATGAACACAAACACATCCGTGCGATCTGACCGGGCTGGGAAGAGTCCCCACAATCTCCCAGGAGTCCAGCTCCGGGTCATATTTCTCAATGCTTTGCAAATAAGTCCCTTTTGAGTAGGAGTATCCACCCGTGACGTATATACAGCCATTTATCACCACGGCCCCACACTCCATCCTCCTCTCCTTCATCACGAAGACGGGCGTCCACTTGTCTCCTTCGGTGTCGTAGCAGTCTGCCACAGTCGTCTGTCCACCAACCAGATACAGCTTATTGTTTAAAGACACGGAGCAAAGGCCGTACTCTGAAAACACAAGGTTCAAATTCAGGAATCAGCTCGAAACACATCAGTGCTTTAGTTCTTTTTGTTTGTTTTTCTTACCTGGATGGGGACTTTCTGTAATGATACTCCATTCATTGACATCTGGACTGTACATCTGGATTTTCTCATAAGTGCAGCTTCCCCTGTATCCATAATGGCCTCCGGTCACATAGATTTTGTCTCCCATTACACACGCAGTGGCATTTCCCACACCTTCAAAAGAAGCACATCAGGTAAAAGTTGATGACCTCAGCATGTACAGCTCATTCTTTCTTGTTGTTTGAGCTGGAGTCGCATCAGGATTTAGTTTTTTTGAATTTTTTTAATCTCTCCAACAGCTCCTAAGGAAAAGTTTTACATACTCTGCTCCAGCTGAGTCTGTACTTAAATAAATGGTTTAGACGGTTTTTTTTTTTTTATTTGGTCAAAACAGCTGCTGGAAATGAAGACAGTGATGAAACGGGACCAAGAGAATAAATAAAGTAGATAAAACCAGAACAATGAGTCACAGCGCAGAGACAAACTTTAAGTGTCCACGTGTTTAAGGAGTTCGTTCAGTTAGCGAGTCTGTTGATCTTTCAGCGACCTCAGTGACCCTGCATGTCTTTAGGCTGCAGCACCAGAGATCTTTTGCTATTGACTGGCTTGTGACACAGTGTGGACTCCACTGTGATGTTGTCATAACAACCGAGCCATCTCCATGGCAACTGAGCAAACTCCATCTACAAAGGAAGGAATGCAGCTGAGTCTTATAGCTCTGACACAAAGAATGACTTAAGATTTAAACCCTCAAACATTTAGTTTTTAATGACGTGGATTAATGAACTTTATAGTTTTTACTGCTAGAATCTGATGCAACTAGAGTATTCTTTGAAACATGCATTTGTAAAAACCTATTCACAGCTTATCAGTCTAAGTAAAAGAGTTCTTCTGAAGCACAAATTTGAAGACACCGAGTTATTAAAGGCCTTTCTTTCGTGTAATCGTTGTATACCTTGGATCATTTTGGCCACTGGAAACCATTTCTTTTTTAAAGGATCATAAAATTCCACCTCTTGTTCTGGAGCTCCTCCTCTGTAGCCGCCGATGGCGTAAATGCAGCCGTGTAAAGCCACGGAGCAGTGATAGTACCTGGCTGTGATCATGGCGGAGCCTTCTGTCCATTCATCATAGTCACAGTTGTAAACTGAAACAGAGTCCAGGGCCTCCACCGTGTTCGTCCTGTAGCCGCCCGTCACATAGATGTTTGCTCCCAGAAGGCTGATGCTGTAGCTCTCCCTCCCGGGGTCAGGCATGTCTTTCCCCTGCACCCACGTGTTGCTGACAGGATCCCAGATGTGGACCTGGCACAGTGGGTGCCAGTAGTACCCTCCAATGATGTACATGCTGGGGGATGTTCTTTTGCTTGGAGACATCTCTTTGCCATTTGAAGTCAGAGCCTGAACAATCATAGATTTTAGTTTGCCTCCATGTTTCACCAGGTAAGGTCTGTACACCTCTAACGAGGCCCTGAAGAGGATCTCATCCAGACCCAGATGACTGGAGTGCAGCAGGTCCGACACGTGCTGAACTCGATTATCCAAGTCGTGGGTGACCCACCTGACCACAGCATCTACCAGCACGTCTTCTCTTTGCACAGTGAGGCTCTGAGCAGCCAGGACCGACCTCACCTCCTCATGATCCACCTCCACGAACTCCTCCTGCTCGATGAGCTCCGCGAACCTGCTCAGCATCACGCGGCGCGCCTCCCTCTCCAGCTGGGCGCACAGGTGAAGCTCGGCAAAGGTGCGCATGCCCAGACAGTTGTCCACGTCCAGGAGGCGGACGAGGAACTCCTCGCACGCGCGTTTGACGGCGGTGAACTGCAGCAGGTCCGCAGCCTCCAGCAGGCTCTGCACGTTGCTCTCGGTGATGCGCACCTGCGCGCTGTACACGTAGTCCAGCAGCGCGCCCAGGACGGCGCGGTCCACCCCGCTCAGCGTGACGACGCTGTTGGACCTCTCCCTCATGTCGGCCGTGAACATGACTTTAAAGTAGGAGCTGCGCGCCGCCAGCAGCGCCCTGTGGCAGTGGAACACCTGTCCGGAGTCTGCGCACCGCAGCGTCACGTCGGTGAACAGGCCGCGGAGGTAGAAGCGCCTGAGCGCGTCCAGGAGCTCGGCTGGATGCTCCCCATCACAGAAGTCATACGTGTAGGGCTCGTTTTCACGAGACATGCTGTCTGAAAACAGAAACACGCATCAGATGGAGGAGAGTCCGTGAGCCGCTGAAGGTGGGCTCACCTCACATCTCCGTGGAGAACCGTTTTTCCCACAGTGACGCTCCGCGGCGTTCTCTCCTCCAATCACTGCTCTCCAAAACAACCAAGACCCTCAATTTAGCTCAGGACGGTCGCAGGCAGCTCGGTCCTATTTTGGTATGTGTGTGCACTGTGCAGCAGCCACCCTCCCCCTCCCATCCCCTCCCTCCTCCTCCTCTTCTTCCTCTCCTGCACTCTACTGTCCAGGTCCTTGACAAAGCCAAGCAACCATTCAGATTCACAGAAAAATCCCACCCCTCCTCCTCCACCACTCTCAGCATCTAAATATAACCCCCCCCCCACCACCACCACCACCACCACCACCTCCCACCATTTAGTCCAGTGACGCGCGGGCACAGACCAGGTTTCATTTACAGAATACAAATCAGACACAAATGAGCTTCAAAACAGCCATTCATGACCCCCACTGCCTCCCCATGCCGTTGCCATGGTATTCTGAATGTATTTCAGAGGCTTAACGTAATCCTAACCTGGATTAACTCCAAAGTGCTCCATATTTCTGGATTAGGAAATTTCACACGGGATTAAAACAACAGAATTCATAAAAGCTATTTGGAACTTTGAATATGGTCTATTTAAACTCATTCTGCTGTAATCAGTATTACAAGCTTTAATAAAAGAGTATATGTGTGGAAATCTCTGTGTGTATTATGAAGTGGATTATGTGCTGCCAGGTGGACAGAAAAACAGTGGGTTTGATTATATCCTGCAGAGACGGACTTGACTGGTCTGTTAAAATAATTATTCACTTTCTTAATTTTTATACTGTTGCATATTTGTTAACGGTTTATTTCAATTCATTTATTTATGTAACGTTAAGTCACAACAGAAGTCATACTATAACTGTTTTTTCTACATCTAAGTACAATGCATGGCAACATGACTTGGCAACGCAAATTTCCTCAAGTGTGCTTGAGTAAATATTAAATTATCTTCTTGTTTCCATGGAAAATAATGATTAACATGTGAAAAGATTAGATTAAATATTGAGGTAAAGTTTGCCTATGCAGCAGCAACATCTGGACTTACATTTTAAACTTTAGACCGGCTGTTATCTTCTCATGCAAAGAACACTTTATCAGGTCATTAACGTTTTAGTCAGCTGATGAATCCATTTAAATGTTTCCTGATTTACAATAACTTGAATCATGACTGAGCTGATTCTGTTAAAGCTGTGTGTATTTATAGATTAGCTCACTGGATTCTATTTTGCACTGAATGCAACATGGACAAAAGTTGGGTTTTCAAACCATCCATCATCTTTACCCGATTCTTTTTTTTTGGGTCATGTCATTTTGGTCATGTCACTGGTGCACATATCCAGCAGTAACCATGCAAGGGGCACGGTTCACCCTGGACAGGTCGCAAGTCCATCACAGGGCGGTTTTCAAACTGTGAACTGTCAGAAAACACATCACTGAAAGCAGGTTTTGGTGGGTGTGGCTGCCAACATGGGTACAAAGTGGGGTGACGTGGATACAATGTGAGTGAATATTGGTCATGAACATTTAAGCTTTGCACACAAAAATGAGCGGATTTTATTTTATTTTTTTAATGTGGCCGCATGGCTCGCTGGTCACTTGCAACTACTCAGAATTCTTTGAAACTGACAGAAATTTGGAACAAGTGGATAAAGCATGTAACCCCAACTAGAGCCGGAGACATGACAACAAAGTTCATTTTTTTTTAATAGACATTTCACCTTTTATCCGGAGAACTTCATCAGACTGACTCCGGATAGAGGGCGAAACATCTCTATAAAAAAAGAAACTGTCCAGATGACCCAACTGAGAATTATTGGATTCGGTACCTGGATGATTGAGCATGAACTTTGTTGCCTTGAACCACTTTGGCTGTGGCTGCCGGCCTGGGAGGAGTCGACGAGGGACAGGACGGCCCCCAGAAAATATCTTAGCTCCAGCAAACTGGTTGGTCCACTTAAGTTTACTGCTTGGTGGGGAAACAGTTTACTGGAACTCCTCTAACTGATGAAGCCCTCCGGATAGAGGGCGAAACGTCTCTATAAAAAATAAACTGTCCAGATGACCCGACTGAGAATTATTGGATTCTCTGACATGACTTCTCCCTATACTGGTGAATGTTGTAATACCGTTTTGTGTTTTTTTCCTTTTACCGTTTACTTTTATCTCCTTGTAAGCTCCCCTGGTTCTTTTTACTAATTTACATTATTGAGATGCCACAATACTCTTGGGTAAGCTAAGTGAAAACCAAGAAGGATGTTCAATCAGTTTGTACAGGGGTTCTACAATAAATACATGCATTTGTAAAATTTGAGAATGATCGCAAATGATCAAGATTGGAAAATGGGAAGACGCTTGTCATATGTAATATTTAATTTCTTGTAAATCTGAATATTTCCAAATAAAATAAAATAAAGAGACTGACAAAAATCTTTTCCATTTTCTCCCATCAAGCAAAGTTCACGTCGATATGTCTCCAGCAGTCACGGCTCATGTGATAGTATTAACCCTGCTGCTGCCCTTGGATCAAAATGACCAACGAGGAACTTGGGCATTGTGGGCCACGTTGACCCAAGGGCAGCAGGAGGAGAGTTCCCTTCATTTTTATTGAAATCACTCAAACTTAATGGCACATGACAAACATTTTATTTAGTTCTTCATTCAAGCTTATTGGACATCTTAACACTGGAATGTTATAAAAATACATGTTTTAGACTTAAAACAAGCAGCTAGCTGTCAACAAAAAGACCAAGACAGGTTCTTTAGATTCAGTACTGTTGAGAGTGTTGGGATTTTTACAGACTGTTATTCTGGAGCTGTCTTTTAAATACACAGCTGCGCTGCATCTTTAACCAAAGGCTCCAAGGCACTGAGATCTCGCAGGAGAGACGACACCCCCACACAATACCACACGTCCCCGGTGTGGTCCACAGGAGCGCTGAAAGATTCAATCTGCACTCCCTCTGAGGCCAAAACTCCTAAACAAAGAACAATGAAAAAGAACGCATGAGTGTGAATTTAAGGGAAAAAGAACGCCAGAACACTGCAATTTAAAACCCATCACTGAACGCCACCTCTCGTCTAAATTAAGAACAGTCTTGGATAAACATAAGTGGGATGGAAAATACAGAGTTTGGATGAAAAACTTTTATTTACATCACAGCTTCTTTTTACTAAGACTCCACTTCAGGTAATTTAAAATCAATTGCCTCAAAGCTTGAATTAAAAGAAGCAGTGATTCAAACACCGAGGTCTAAAAACCTAATGACTGATGGAACAATCTTTGGGTCTCCTTAAGAGACACCAAAGATATTTCTAAGTAGGGTTCTGTGAAAAGTTATGAACAATTATTATCTTACCTGTTGTAGATGGCTCTCTGAAGGCCCTCAGTTTGAAAACAAACAAACAAAAAGTTTATCTCTGATCAGGCTGACAAACTTACAGCTGTTTCAAGCGGATTGCTGCAGACTTTGAACAACTTCTATTCTAAAAATTTACATTTTATGCTAACACTAATTTATAATTCACTGACATTAGTTTTGGATTACAAAGTTGTTTACATAAAATGCTGCAGTTATTTGCAAGCACAAATAGCAGCAGTGGCAGCTAGCTGTGGCACTTCTAGTGCAGCCTGGTGCGTGTCCTGCAGGACTATCATAATGGAATAAGTGTAAAATAACAAATTGACAACAAAATGTTTATAAACTGTAGAGTTAATTTAAAATAGGGGTATAAAATGATGAAATAGCCTTTGCATGAATAACTAGGAAACTTTTAACATTGTAGAAATAAAAAAAGCAGCAATCTACTTTGGTCTTGGCCCCACTCAGACTAGCCTTTAGCTCATCAATCTGGTCAGAAATAAACTGTTTCAATGAAATGACCGCCATCAGTGGTGGGATGTAACTAAGTACAAATACTTTGTTACTGTACTTAAGTACATTTTTTCATGTATCTGTACTTTACTTAAGTAGAGTTAAATGTGGGTACTTTATACTTTTACTCCACTATATCTTACATCAAGTATCTGTACTTTCTACACTACATTCCTAAAATACTTTGTATTACAAGTTACATTCATGTTGCGGCTTTTTAAATCGTTTGTTAGTTTGAAAGTAACCAATGGCGAGAGAGGAGCTGGTCCATTGAATCACTGCAAAGTGGGCAGGTAACGTTAGACCCACCTTCAAGAAGAGCTGGGCCAATGACGTATATTCTAAAACAGGTAAGATGTTAATTGTTCATAACCTCTCCACAGAACCCCAATTCAAAAGATCTGGTGTTCCGTTAAGCAGATATTTTAAAATGTTTTTTCCTGTTTAAAGACCACTATTAATACTGACACTCTTGACTTCAGAAATAATAATATAAAAAAAAACACAGGCCTGCTTTAGAAAAACACACATAAAGCTAAGCTAGCTTCAGTTTGAGAGGATTTATTTTGCTGCAGTGATTCTTATTTCCTCACCAGCCACTGAGGACAGCAGCTGAGGGTTTCCAGAAGCCTGGAAGAAGAGCAGATTTCCTCTTAGGGAGATGGGCTGTCTGAACACGCTGTCACTCAGCTCCAGCAGGACAGGAACACCTCCTTGAACTGAACCGCTCGCCTTAAAGCTGCGGCCATTAGTCGCGATCTCCACCTTGCACACACCAGCTGCCCCGTCGGAGTCACAGTGGGTCTGCTTTACCTGGAAAGGCAGCTCTAATATATTTACATGTAAGACATAAAATTAATCTCTGTCATGTGTTTGATGTGAGATTTCATACCATGATTCCAGTCTCCTTGGCTAGGCTCAGTATGTTGATGAGATTCGGGCAACCTTCAAGTTCATGACTGAGCAGTCCGACGAGGACAGCTGAGGTCATGTAACCTGTGCAGGACTTCATGCAGTCTCCTGGTTTGCAGAAAACAGGGAAGTTGAAACACTTTAAAACAAGGGAGAAGAATCATAATCACAACAGTTGATGCCACTTGGACATAACTGTGTAGCGTGAATTAAATACTGTTTTTATGAACACACCACTGTCTAAATAAAGGTTGAATGAAAACTAGAGGGAGGGAAAAATTACATGCAACATTTTTTTCCTTCTAGGAGCTGAGTCCCCTTTTACAGAACACAGGCTACGGAAACAGGTTAGGCCAGTCTTTTTTTTACCGTAAGTGCTGACTTGAACATGACTGAGCGGTGTCTTAGAAGCGCTGCAGGACTGGAGAACTGCTCCGACGGCTTCTCCGAGTTTGATCAGCTGCTGAGACTCCTGGGTGAAGGTGCTGGCTAAAACCTGAGCGTTGACCTGCACAAGGAGGACACAGACACAGTCACAAAGTCTGATTTTCAGATGCTCCACAGTGATCAATTCACGCTGACTTACACCTGCAAATACAAATATTAGTAAGTGTATGATCTTCTGTTTGGTACATACACATGCATTCTAGCTCTAAAATGTTTTGGGTTTTGCTGGATTTAAATCTGTTACTCTGGTCCTGCAATAGAACCCAGTTAACATGTTTTAAATGGATCAAGCTGATGGTTTGAAAAGGTGAATGATTAAAAGTTGAAACAAGAGCTGAGGACTTACTGCTCCGACCAGGTTCTTGCCCTTCACCATGTCCACAATCTGCAGGGCGATGTCCTCCCCACAGCGAGCCTGAGCCTCCTTCGTACTGGCTCCCAGGTGAGGACAACAGATGACATTTGGATGGTCCACCAGAGAGCAGTTCATCGGTGGTTCCTGCAGCAAATAGCACATGTAACATAAAATCTAGAAATTTTAATTCAAAAACAAGACTGTTATAGAAACAGTACAGCAACCACTGAAATAGAAATGTGCAGGAATGACCAGCCACAGTGCAGTCTATGCTGATGAGGTGAGAAACTGTGCCACCATCTTGGTAGGTGCTACTTGATGTCCTTAGCAGCATGAAAAGAAATCATGGATACCAGAGGGAAAAAAAATCATAACCAAGAAGCCCATAGTTTTCTATAAATTGTTATAATTATTGGAACCTGCTTTTACAATAAAACATGATATAAGTAAATATACTATATTAGCTCATAAATTACTGAAAATGGGACATTTTGTTACAGCTGAGCTTTTGTCTAGCCCATTATGTACGTCATATACGTATGCTGTCAGAAAACTACTCATAACTTTAAAAAATATCTGTGCTTTAACTAGTTTATGGGTAAAACATATGTAATTATTAATAATAACATATTAGTGTATTGACAAGCTCAGTTACTGTATGCAAATATATATACTAAAGTTTCAGGTATATAATGCCTACATATTTCTAAAATTATGAGGTATAAAATTTAATTCTATCAGTTTTAGTTTCGGGCAGCATGGTGGTGCAAATGGTAGAGCTGCAGCCTCTCAGCGAGCAGGTAACCTTGGTTCAAACCCCGGTCCGGGGGCCTTTCTGGGTGGAGTTTGCATGCTCCCTCCATGCGCATGTGGGTTTTTTCTGACTACGCCAGTTTCCTCCCACTGACCAAAAACATGTATGTTAGACTGATTAGTAACTCTAAATTGTCCCTAGATGTGAGTGAGAGAATGATTGATTGTCTCATTTGTCTGTACGTGTCCCTGTGATGGACTTGTGCCTGTCCAGGGTATACCAGCAGTTTCCAGGTATAAACAGTGATACATGTAGCACTCAGCAAGATGGCGGTCCCAAACGCCACCTATTTTTGTTTGTGGCCTTCTTTCAGTGATAGTAACACTGCAGATTGTTGAGGAACATTTGGTGGATGTGACTTTACCTCAACAAAGACATCAAGTCCTGCTCCTCCACACTGCCCAGACTCCAGAGCTCTGAGAAGAGCATCCTCATCAATGATGCCCCCTCTGGCACAGTTCACAACCTTGACTCCTTTCTTACACTTGGCAAATGTTTCATCATTGAGCAGCCCTTGAAAAAAAAAGCACACATGAAAGACAAATTCTATGTCAGCCAGCATCTAGTTTTTCTTGGCGTTATTCAGTGCGGACAGTGATGCTCACCAGCTGTAGAGGGCATCAGAGGAGTGTGAACAGTAATGTAGTCACACAGTGGCCAAAGCTGCTCCAGAGACATCTGCTCCACCCCCCAGCTGGCTGACACCTCAGGTGGAGTGATTGGATCGTAGCCAATTGTCTGACAGGAGGATACAACAATGTTTTAGTGTGGTTAGCCATTGAGAGCTGCAACAGGTTTTATTCTCTTAGGACTTCAGATACAAAGCAGTGGTGCTCAAGAAGGGTGCACACATCACACCCATTTTTTGGCGCTGGTTGCTGGAAGACCAAATAATATATAATTCTATTTAACAAACTAAGGAACCTTGACCTGTGTAGTTCCAGCTGCAGGTGGTTAAGCAGTTTACTGATAGAATGAATCCAGATTGGTAAAGATGGCTGCAGATACTAGTTTCTAATGGTCCACTAAAAAAGCATCGTAATCAGATCCATTCTGGTTTTGTTTGAGCGTATCACTGCAAGTTACTGATTAAAAACTAAAAACTCCCCCTAGGATTATTGGTGCACCCCTCCTCTGCTACATTACATTACCACCTCCTGATGCAGAGACTCAAACATCTCACACATAATCTTCAACTTGAAGTAGAAACCAAAGAATTGGGTAGTTTTTCACGCTGATCCATGAGACGACCTACATCTAAAGAAAAGCGGGTTTGGAAATAACCTTGGAGCTTGGAGAGTTAGGTTGTACAACAACCACGTCCATGTTTACATTAGACTGAGCTGGGAGCCTGTTGCCTAAATACAGTATTTTCCGCCATACACGTCGCAACATCCTATAAGTCGCATCAGTCCAAATATGTCTAATAAAATGGAAAAATCCATAAATATGTTCCTTCGCCATATACATTGCATCTATTATGCGTCACCTCTGATGCGTCGCGTTTGTTACGCATCACAGCTGACAACACGGAAATGTGGGCCGGTGTTGTGCCAAAAATCGATTGGCTGCCAAATGGCAGCCGTGGGAGCGTGCACGGGAGGACTTTAACAAGAATTTAACAAGATTAACACTTAAAACAATTATTTGTTTGCTCGACTTTAGAGTAACGGTGTGTCTCAGTCTAACTTTCGCTTAATAAATGCACCTTAACGGTCAAATCAGCTGCATTTCAAAAGCCAATACGTAGACGTAAGCGTGTGCACGGGAGGACTCGCTGTGCATTTCTTTGAAATTTAACAAGGTAAGCACCGAAAACAATTGTTTGTTTGCTCGACATTATAGCAAAGTTATGTCTCAGTTGAAGTTTTACTTAATAAATGTACTTGAACGGTCAAATGAGCTGCATTTCACCGGGGCGGTGCAGTGAAATGAAGCTGATTTGATGGTTGCTTCAAGCGAGCTGAACGAAGGTGGCAGGCTATGGCAAGCCGATTGTGTCATTAATAGCCACTTTTACCTATTATATAACACAACGGCATGCCATACTGTTTGAGTGCCATCTAGTGGCTGAAAATGGTAGTGTTCAATATTTTCAGTCAGAATGAATGAAAACGGTCCTATCTCAGCCAAAAATTGGTTTATAAATATGGAAAAAAAAATCCATAAATATGTCGCTTCGGTGTATAAATCGCAGGGCGTGCAAATTATGCAAAAAACACGACTCATATGGCGAAAAATACAGTACTTACAATGTCTACTTTAATAACTTCTGTCTGCAAAATTTTTGATTATTTAGTTTATAGAGATCACACAAAACACACAAACTTGTATGTTCATTTGTGTGGAATTGCCTCACTTCTGAACTGAACTAGCCTCTTTCAAAAGATCCACCTTGCAGTCCAACACATAGATATCTGTTGATTTTAGCAGAGTACCACTGATTTATTCAGAAAAGCCCCAAAACTCACCTTCATGCCAAAAGACTGCATCCTCATGGCAACTTCCTTTCCTATTCTTCCAAGTCCAACTATTCCAAGTACTTTGCCGAGCAACTCCGTGCCCATGAACTGTAGAAGTGAAAACACAGCAACAAAGAACCCTATGACTAAATATTAAACGCCGCAGACCCAAGTGTCATGCTGCATTATTGACAACTGGGTGAACAATGGAGCCAGTCATGCAAAATAAATTTCTTTACAACTCCAAATGGGGAGTAGACGGGAATCTCTTTACCTTTTTGCGATCCCACTTCCCTTGTTTCATTGACATTGCAGCTTGAGGGAGATTTCTAGAAGAGGGAGAAGTGTTTTAATAAACTTCGAGGCTTATAAAAGAGATATTTACTGAAGCACGGCTCATCTTGCCTCGAGAGGCCCATTAACAGGGCACATGTAAGCTCGGCGGCGCTGATTGTGTTACCGCTTGGTGTGCTGGATAAGAAAGGTAATGGAGAGTGTGTTACATTGGAGCAGAACGATACAACAAATCTGTGTTTTGAACAAGACTTACTTCATGACAATAATGCCCTTTTTAGTGGCAGCTTCAACATCCACATTATCCACACCGGTCCCAGCTCTCCCAATGATTTTAAGATTATCAGCAGCATTGATAACTTCAGCTGTTACCTTGGTCGCTGATCGAACAACAAGGCCATCGTAGTCCTAAAAAAGGCAAAAACTATAGGTCATACCAAATTTATATTATCAGTGCATCTCATTTATGCTATATAAGTAATCTTTGTTAGTTTGGTATATAAATATATACAAAACGAACATAGGGCCTCAACCACGTTTTTAATTTTGGCCCTGTCATTCCCCAATCTGTTATGGAAGCACGATCCGTATTGTACTTCCGGGTCACACGGTTCACCGTTGTTTATGAATAAAAACTGTCTTAATTTACTTAGAAAATTACGTGCTCTATCTACGTCGATCTTCATGTAGCTAATTTACGCCACTCGTATTTCTATTACAAATCATTGGTTAAGATGATATGCGACGCATTAGACCTGATCCCCAGCCTGAACTGAATGAGAAAAACCCTGCAAGATACAGAATGAATTATTTCCATGGTGAAACAGCGCCGCTCAGTGGTGAAGCTGCGTATCACTTTAACCATGACGTAAATATGTCAACGATTTTAACGGAAATACGAGCGGCGTAAATAAGCAACAAGAAAATCGGCAGAGATAGAGCACATACTTTTTAAAGTAAATTAAGACAATTCTTATTTGTAAACGGAATTATACTAGTACATTTTCCTTAATCTAGCATATTCAACGGCGATTCGTGCGACCCGGAAGTATTACTTTTAGCCCATGCACAAATGAGCAACACTACGGATTGTGCTTCCATAACAGATCGGGGAATGACAGGCCCCTCGTGAAAATCAGTTTGACGTTCTGAGTTAGAGGGTCAGACGGCTTTAATGACAATTTAGAAGATCATGTGTCAGAACATGATCTTCAACTACAGTTGAAGCTGGAGGCTTTTATTCTTCAAAGTATTGTAAAGCTTGTCTTGTAAACCCAGGATCTCTATAGATGAATGTCTCGTTACACCCCTAATCTCAAATAAATGTAAATCCATTCACCACAAACGAAAAAAAAAATAAAGCTTTCAATTAACCTATAACAAATACAGTAACAACTGAGATGTGGGGGTTTAATGGTGCCCATATTTTATTTGGCCCAGGGGCCCAGGAGAGGGTGAATCCGGCCCTGAATCTCCTGCAGCACATTCGGCTTCAGCAGGATGGCTTCAGTGGCAGACTTCAGATTAACATCTCATGATATATGACAGCCACACACCACATGGTTTAGTAAAAAGCCTGATGCGTCTTGTTGCAGTGATGGAAAGTCAGGCATGAGTTGCATCAGCTTCCCAATGAAAGGGCCGAACTACTGAAACACGAAACAACGCGCGACTTCACCTTAATCTCTGCGATCAGTTCCTCCTTTTTCATGCTCTGCTTCTCCGTGACACGGATGCCGTTTTCCTCCAGGACCGCCCTGCAGCGCGGGTCCACACTTTCACTGACTAACACGGTTCTGATGGAGATGGGGGCCATCTTGGAGGTTTCTCTGTCTGCTGCTCGCTGGAGGACCGCTGCAGAGGTGGATGTGGTGGTGAAGCGACGATGAGCCTTTATCACCCCCCTCTTCCCCAGTTGTTGGTTGATTTTAGACGAAACCCTGCTGCCACGTGGTCCCGCCTCTCGCGCGTCTCCTCTTGTTACGTAAGCGCGCGCTGCGGACTGGAAACCAGTCAAACCATATAGGCGAGGTACTGATGCGCGCAGTGTTTTTGCTGCAGCGTCGAAACTGAAGCATTCATTTCAATATTGATCCCAAGCCTACCGAAAAGTACATAAATAAATAAACAAACAAACAAAAAACAAAGCAATTAGTGTTTAAAGCGATACTTAAATTCTTTAGAATAAGGTGTTACTTAATGTTATGAACATAAAATATCTTAAATGTCCAGCTTTCTGAATAACCTTAGTTTTGAAAATAAAAAACAGAACAGTCATAATAGCTTACTATTCTATCGTTCCTAAAAAAAAAAGTGTTTCACACAATTTCTATACAATTTATTGACTGTTTGTTTAGCTCAAACTCATAAGGATTTTAGGGAAAGAGTGTTAGAGAACAGCAAATATCACTTGCCTTTATTTGCAACTAAATGTAGCGATCAGTAATTTGGAATATCTCAACACAACTCATGTTCACATGATTTTAGCCCCAACTTTTATTAACACTAACACTTAATTTCCACAAATAACTTTACCTTCGTCAACTGTTGTCCTTACAGGTTTTGATCACGGTTTCCTTTCAGAAAAAGAGAACTTCACCTTTTCACCTTTTCCTGACTCTGTTTACATCCATTTTATCGACTCGGTATCTGTTGTGCGTCAGGAGTGCTCGAAGTTGTCAACATTTGAGTGTCAACAAAAGACTCAATTGTTGGCAACAACATATGATTCTTCTGAGCCCTTTTTTTTTTGTACAAATTATGCGGTAATCTTTTGGTGTTAAATGATGCGGTCATTTTATCATAGATGATACACATGCTAAAAATTCAAATACAAAACAGAGAAAATTTGTTCATTTTATTTATAACTCCTTCAATGGAACAAAGTGGCGAACAATGCAATGAGATAAAACAAATATACAACTAATTAAATAATACCAAGATTAAAATAAGAAAATAAAAAAAAAATAAAAAAAAAAACCATAAACATCAGCTTCTAACAGGTAATGAAAGCCAACAAATAAAATGAGTTTTAAGTGAAGATTTACAAGCAGCAGATAATGTTTGTCTAATGTGCAAAGGCAACTGGTTCCAAAATGTTGGCCCCACCAAAGCCCAGTTCCCTCTGAGCTTACACCTTTTGGTCCATTCAAGAGCAGCTGATCTGAGAGAATGAACAGGTATAAGGATGTGCCTCAGAGAGATGAGAAGGAGCGAGACCATTTAAAGATTTAAAAGCAAAGAAAATTAATTTAAAGTGGATTGGAAACCACTGGAGAGAGTTTAAGCAGGTTTAATGTGATTAAAATATCTTGTTCCAGGTAAAAGATATGCCACTGAATTTTGTGCCATCTGTAAATGACGGCAGACGCGCTGACCCCAATGAGCGTTACTGTAGTCCAGCCATGTTGAAGACAACAATCACTGTTTCAAACAACTGCTGCAAAAGACTTGACCTTATCTTGGCCAACTGCCTCAACAACTGTATAAACATGTCTGATCATCGTCAGCGGTGGAAAGGGACATGCTTCCTGAAAATGGAGTCAAATGGGAGCCAGTGATAAAATACAGGAGAACCCAAAATTTTACCCTGAGGAACGCCACACATAATGGGGGACAGAAGCACATCTAAAACCATTGAAGCCAACAGAGAATGTTCAACCTGCCAAGGGACCTGAACCACTCTAGTACCACAAACCTAAATCCACTTCCTGTTCTAAACCAGATCCACTAATGCAGCCATCAGGTCCACAAGCACCCCACAATCACTACCATTAGCTAAAAATATGTATTGAAAATTCCTAAAAGAGTATAGACTCAGTCCGGTGCAAAGTGTTAAAATTGCACTGAAAACCCTCAAGAATGTTGTTTCGTTCCCAAAAATCCATCAACTGACCATAAACTGTTTTCTCGAGGATTTTTGAAACAAAAGGATGTTTAGAAATGGATCTGAAATTAACCAAGATTACAGGGTCCAAATTCTGCTTTTTTTAATCAATGGCATCAATGCTTTAAAAAAAATATGATTGTTATCGGTGACTACACAAGACATGGCTGCTGTTAAGAACTGCAAGGTCTGATGGTACCACAGAGGAAAACACCTCTTTAAAACATTGAGGATGGACAGGACCACTGGGGAACCTGAAGGTTTTAACTGACCAACGATCTACCGCGACCAAGATAAAGTCACAGCCTCAAATTCCTCAAAGGCATCAGAAGGTGGAACCAAACCTGAAGGATCACGTGCAGAATAGAGGCAACCTTGTTAAAAACAAGTGGAGAAAATCTTCACAGAGGGACGAAGAGGCCTAAATAAGACAAACCCGGAGGACACAGTGAGCCGACCTAAATAGTGTAGAACATTTGAATCATGGATTCTCCCAAGTCAGGTCAGCAAAATCTCTTCCAGCACCTGAAACTGACGCCACAGGTCTGAACATGAAGCTAAGGATTGGGCCCAACTCCATTTGCGTTCAGCTTTACTGCACAGGCACATTGTATCATGATCGTCTTTTGGGCGTGCTGAGCCTTAGGCTGCGTAATTCTGATAGGAGCAACCAAATCTGAAACAGATGGACAAGTGGAGTCAAACCATGAGCTAAGCTCCTCTGTGGGAGTACACACAGGAACCAGACAGTTTTGAGTGAGAGAACCATTCAGAGGGGTTTACAAGTCAACGATGACTGGCAGCAGTGCAACATCTGAGTGTTTTATAATCCAGAGACAGGTAATATTACTTCAGTGCTGCTGACCACACTGATCATCTAACAGCCCCTGCTGTCATTTTATTTAGGGTCTACTCAGACCACGCTATAGTGACTCTTTAAAAAAAAAAAAAAAATCTCGCAACTTTTTTGATGTTACTAGAGGCTGATGTGAAAGGAGGTGTCATTCTTACCCTTCAGGTGTTATCTCACTGAGCTGTACCTGTGAGATGGTGACCCCAAATTGATGGAAATTTGTGAGAAAACGCAGACATTTTCTGTTGCAGTCCCACTAAAATTCCGAGTGTTTGCAACCAATTGACCAACGAGCCACGTGAAAGTGTTTAGAACGACCAGTTTGGGCAAATCACAATTTACGTGTGCATGGCCTGCACTTTGGCTCTATATCCCCCATCTTATCAGGCCCAGATCTGTTCATATAAATCTGTGCTACAATGAAATAAAAAAAAAAGATAAACATCAAAAAGGAACCCCCCACCACCACCAGTTTCCCTTGTCGAGCAGTACCGGTAAGTTAGGACATGACTGTGCTAATTTAACAGATGCTGCTCATCCCCTGACTCATTAAGCAGCACATGGCAGCCCCTCTTACCTTTCTCTGTGTTGTCTCAGTCATTTATCACATCTATCACAGTCACTGCATCTGTTTAAAGTGCAAAATGACTGCTACTGTGGTGACTGTTTATATCCTTGCTTGTAAAGCCAGCTGTTGTAGTCAAGCTTTTCAGTCAATAATTAGGAGCAGAGTATTTACTGGAAAAGCAAACTGACATATTTGATTTAATCTAAAATCCCTGTCATAATGGCTTATATATAGACAGCAACCTTCAAACATGTTTAAAACCTTGAAATGGGTTCTACAAACTTATACATTTAATAATGTCAGCCCATACTGCTGTTGTTACATTTGTACCTAAATTAGCTCCAATTGCAGAAAAGCAAACCAAAAAAAAAAAAAGCTTTCTGGAGGAGCACTTTTGCACATTTGACTGCAGAAACCTCTTCTCAATGCCTCATATTGATTTATGTAATTAAAGATAAACACTGTACTTTGCAAAAAAAAAAAAAAGCATAAAGAGAGCAATAAATACCTTCTGACCTAAATTATTGTATATTTCATGCATCATATTTCTCTACAAATATTACATGCGACCTTACTCCTTATAGCTTTATAAATAAATCTATAAACACTGTAAGGTGTCTGAAAATGACCCCATGACAGCTTTAGCACGGCTTATTTCAAAAGTTCATGCCAAAATGTTTAAAATAAATACAAAACGTGACCAATCAAAGTATGAATTATCATCTAAATTACATCTTTCTTACATGGTATAGTAAGTCTGTTCCACATATACTCATATAAACAGATTTATAAATATCCTAGATTCAGTTAGATAGCTGTGTCCCATTCCCACCTTTGCACATTTTTTCAAAGTTTTTTTTTTTGTAGTCTTACAATTAAACATTGGGTTTATGTTTTTCAACACATCAACACATGCAAATGAAAGAATGCATGTTTGAAGTCTAAATATGTTATAAATAGTTAAACATATTGCCTAGACTATTCATTAAAAAGTAGAATCCCACTGGTGAGAGGTGACGTTGAAGAGAAGGTCTGTGATTGGCTCTCCCGTTGCCTGGATACATCCCTACAAACGCAGGGACGTGGAGCCGATCAATTATATTGGATCAGCCGGAGGTTCGCCGGGTGGGCGGGATGACGTATTGTGATTGGTGGTTTGGTTAAAGCAAGACTGGTGATTGGTTAATAGTGTTAGACGGTCGCGTCAATCCTCAACGCCGATCCAGTTCATCGCTGAAAGCAGTTTTATTTTTGACGCAAAAGCCAAAGAAGTTTTACACTAGTTTCACGCGAATTATCAGCACTAAAAGGACGTATTAAAATGGCGTCGGTGGCAGCCAATGGGCGTCGAAGAGGATTCTGTAAAAGTGGTGAGTGTTAAAGAAATCACTCACAGAAAATTATTTCGTTCAAGTTTTCAGTTTAGGCCAAAGGTCAAAATGCTAACTTTTTTTTTTTTCTTTTTAATAATACACGCAATTTATATAT